AGACTCACTGTGTGGGCCTATGATCTCTCCTTTCTTGTCTAAATAAAATTGTTCAAAGATGAAAATAAGGATATTGTCTATTTTAAAACTCAAGAGTGACTGACCTATAATGAGCTGTTGCATGCAGTTGTTTGGGGTTTTTTTTGTAACTTGGTTTTGGGCTTAGCTTGAGCCGACAGCTCTGCTCACTCGCAATGCTAAGTCTGGGGATGGATTTGTATGCCAGGAGCTGACTTACCCTTACTTCAAGACGCTCCCTGCACAGTGATGTGGATAAGACATCCAGGGTTTCAACACCTTTTGCATGTTTGCTAAAATTCCTTTGGTTTTTAATTTTGCGGGTCTGTTATCCACAAAGCTTAAACTTTATTGTAATACAAAAAGAGAAATAAGGAATTGCTGCAAGTATTTTGTGTGTGTGGGAACTGCGTTATATAAGTCTTTGGGTTTTTAAAAGTGGGCTTCATTTGAAGGCTGTTGGGAGTGAAACATTCCAAGGTTTAGAGAGACTGTTGACTTCCAAATCAATGCTTTAAGAGTGTTGTAGTTGTGGGGAAGAGTCCTTGGTGTGATGCTGCTGAGTCCAGACAGCAAAACACATGGTATAATAAGACCCAAACCCATTTTATAATGAGAACCAAAGCCAAGCCCACAGTAATGACTGTCTCCAGTTCCCTCTGGTTAGATCTTGTGGCTTGAACAGTTCCAGTTGAACAGTGTGGTGGTTGACCCTGTTCTGGCAGCCACTGTGCTGTGTGTAACCAGCCTTATCATTACTCTTGAGAAGATTGTCCTGAAAACCTCAAAAACCACTTTTGGCTATTCTTACACCATAGCAGACAAGGTAGTGTTTGGTTTGGATATGCAGAACCTTTCCCCAGTGAACCTCCTTGCAGCCTTCCCTGTCCAGTGTGTCCCCAGTCTACCTGGTGTGTTGTAGCAGTAATATGACAAAGTGTGTGAAAATCCCCAAGGCTGAAGCTTGTTTCCATTGCTCTGAATTTGGGTAGGACTGGAGTTCCTTAGGGAAAAATAAAGGCAGTGAGGTAAGCTTCATTTCAGTCTCTTCTTAATGTCCTGTATGTGTTTACTGTTGAGTTAAATGTCTTTGAACAATCCTATTTCACTTGTGAGCTAAAACCTTCTCACTTGCATGGTCACCTGAGGAGCACCTTGCCTTGGCCTGCGCACCTGCATGTCACTTAGCAGGTTACTGATGCCAAGAGAGAAGAGTTTGGTCTGACACTTAAAGCAGAACAAGGGATTTGGTGCCCTTGGCTCAATTGAGTGTTTGCATAGCAAAGAATTGGAAATCTCAAGTTAATGTTTTTGGATGTAGATTAAGATGTGAGAATTGGTAGCGATGTCTGTAAATCCACAACTGAAATACTTGTCCTGGCATTAACAGCAACCTCAGCATGCATGCCTGCAGATCACGGGGCAGGGGAGAGTAGCACACTGAGTGAGACACTCAGTGACATGCTTAGACAGAGTTGTTACTTGTCTAAAAGGCAACAATTCGGAAATCAAGGCCTGCCATGTCTTCTGTGGATCAAACCCGGTGTGCACTGGTAGTAGCTGGGCTTGTTGTATCACACCCCAGCAAAGAAGAGATGCTGTCATGCGTGTGGGGAACAGTCTGTGTGTGTCTCAGATTCCCACTGCTTGCAGAGTGATGAGACTCATCATTTTGGAACCCTATGCCACTTTTAAGGCCTTGGTTATTGTCACTAACTTTCTCTGAGTATTTCCCTCCAAGGAAGGCAAGAATGTTTTGCCTTTTTCTTTTTCTTTTTTCCTTCTTTGCTGCTCTTCTCACAGTTTGCCTTTTCCATTTTTACCCTGCAGTTTGCCATGTGGGTGGATGCTGTTATATTTGTCTTCAGCTTGGAAGATGAAGTCAGCTTCCAGACTGTTTACCACTACTACAGCCGTATGGCCAACTATCGCAACACTAGTGAAATCCCAATGGTACTGGTGGGAACGCAGGGTAAGTGCAGTCTTGATTTCCAGAGGTGCTTTTGTGACTGTATAGGCTGTTCCAGGCTGGAAAAGCCACGTCCTATCCTTTCACATTTTCTCTGGGGCTGTGGCAGTGTGAGGACTGCTCTGAGGAAGTAAACAAATGTTCTGGCGGCACTCTGGGAGAGAGTGTGCAGGATTTTAGCAGTGATGAAAGAGGGGGAATTTTTGTTAGATGTGGGGAAGAAATTCTTCTCTGTGAGGGTGATGAGGCACTGACACAGTTTATGGTTGCCCTATCACTGGAAGTGTTCCAGGCCAGGTTGGATGGGGCTTGGAACAACCTAGGCTAGTGGAAGGTGTCCCTGCCCACGGCAGAGTGATGTAACAAGATGAGCATTGAGGTCCCTCCCAATCTGAACCATTCTAGGATTCTATGATGTAGAAGGAAATTTTAGACAGTATTTTCTGTGCTTGCTAGTTGCAGTGCGTTTCCTGCTCAAAGAGTTGCTAGTGTTGAATTTGGACAGGTGATCTGGTTGTGTAAGGAGGTCAAAGCAGTTTCTGTGTGCTCGGCCGTGCAGAACTGTTCAGCACCCTGGCATTACTCAGGGGCAAATGGAGCAGAGGTCGAAAACCTCCAGCAGCACGTTGGGAAGCAGAACTGAGCTGTGCCCCTGCACAATGCTTACTGGAGACCACTCTGGAAATCAAATAGAGATGCAAATTTTTGTCACCTGAGGCAACCTCCCCCCCAATTTTTGCAAAGCTCTTTCTGGTGGCACAGCAGCCGTCCTACAGGGAAATGTGACAAGGGAAGGGTACCCATAATATTTCAGTTTCTTGGGCATTTGAGCTGTCTCTGGGTATGCCCTGCCTTGTTTTGTCAGTGCATCCCATTAAGATGTCATGGTTGGTTTGCTGTGTGGAGTAGAACTATAAAAGTTGAGGCTGCTCTGCTTCTGGATTTATAGTTTCATAGAACCATAGAATCATTAAGGTTGGAAAATCATCGAGGTTGGTAAAAGCCTTTAAGATCATTGACTACAGCCATTTCCCCAATGCCACCACTAACCACGTCCCCAGATGCCACATGCACACAGCTTTTAAATTCCTCCAGGGTTGGTGACTCCACCACTGCCCTGGGCAGCTGTGCCACAACTGGACAACCCTTTGGGGAAGAAATTTTCCCAATATCCCATCTAAACCTCCCCTGGCACAACTTAAGACTGTTTTCTCTCATCCTGTCTGGTTCCCTGGGGGCAGAGCCTGACCCCACTTGGCTGCACCTCCTGTCAGGGAGTTGCAGAGAGCAAGAAGGTTCCCCTGACCATCCTCTGCTCCAGGCTGAGCCCCCACAGCTCCCTTGGCTGCTCCTCACTCCTTGTGAGTTACTTCCCACTGGCGAACATCTTTCTGAGTGTATCTCCAGGTTGCTGTGCTGTGTCAGAGGGAGAACACAAGTGTCATGAGTTGTTCTTGTAGGTTCCTCTTCCTTTTAGGTGTATACTACTGGTTTTGGGGGTGTTGAAGCTTTTTGCTGCCTTCTCAGTGTACTCATTTGCCAGCTGTGTGATGTGGGAGCGGTTTGCTTTGCCCTCCTCCTGCAGAGCAGTGACACCGTGGAGACACGTGGGCAGCGGGAGAGGAGGGATCACAGCCCAGCTGTAGGGCGGAAACAGATGCCAAGAAGTGAAAAAGGGAAGTAGGTACACAAAAAGCCTTAGGATAGCAGAAATTACAACAAACAGGAGAAAGGAGCTGCTGTAAAGGGCTGCACTGTTGGCTTGAAGCTGGAGTTGAAAAGATGAAGGGGAAATGTTACTCTGAGATGTTTTCTTTGTGCCCTTCTGACACTTTGGGCTAGAGTTTTCCATCTTCCTCCCGTTATGACCAGAAAGGAATCTGGTTTGGTTTTTTTTCAAAGTTGATTTTCTGTTTGAGCACTGATGCAAAGGCTAAGGATGGAGATGTGCTAATTCTGGGAGTAAGCTTCAGGAAAAAATAAGACGTATGGCTGCATCAGCTGTCCAGCAGTGCAGTGAAATGAAATACATGAATATATTTATTAAAATTATGTATTTGATATATTGATGTATATTAAAGATATATTTGAAATATACATGTTTGATATAATAAAATCCTAGAATGGTTCAGGTTGGAAGCTGATTCTGTTCCGTCCCCTGCCCTGGGCAGGGACACCTGCCAGTAGACCAGGCTGCTCCAAGCCTCCTCCCCGCTGGACTTCCTGACTGGTATTCGTAAAACAAGACGTGAAATAAAATCTCTCCCAAGATGTTAGTTCCTTTCTGATGCTTCCAGGTGTTCTCCTCTGACGTCTGAAGCCAACTGTCGTGGTTTAACCCCAGCAGCAGCCAAGAACCACGCAGCCTCTCACTCACTCCCCCACCAATGGGATGGGGGAGCGAATTAGAAGGGTAAAAGCTACAAAAAGCTATGGGTTGCGATAAAGACAGTTTAATAGAGAAAGCAAAAGCTGCACACACAAGCAAAGCAAGGAATTAATTCACTGCTTCCCGAAGACAGGAGGTGTTTAGCCATCTCCAGGAGAGCAGGGCCCATCACGTGTAACGGTTCCTTGGGAAGACAGATGCCATCACTCCAGATGTCCCCCCTTCCTCCTTCTTCCTCCCACCTTATATACTGAGCATGATGTCCTATGGTATGGAATATCCCTTTGGTCAGTTTGGGTCACCTGTTCCAGCTGTGTCTCCTCCCAATCTCCCATGCATCCCCAACTTCCTTGCCAGTGTGGCATTAGGGATTGCAGCAAAGGCCTTGACTCTATGTAAGAGTCAGGCAATAACAAAAACATCTCTGCATTATCAACTCTGTGTTCTGCACAAAACCCAAACATAGCCTCATACTAGCCTCTATGAAGAAAGTTAACTCCAGCTCAAACCAGCGCACCAACCCGCAGCCTGATACACTACAGAGCAACGAGGCAAACTTCTGAAGCCACGATGTTGCTCATCAGTTCCTTTCTGGTTCAATGTTGTCAGCGCCCTCTGCTGAGAAAATAATATAGGTTCTTAGTTTTCCCAGGAACTGCTTTGTTTTTGTTAGTTATATCGATGAGAAGGTCATGATGACATCAGTTGTGGCATGGGCCTGCCATGACCAGAACTGAGCCTCACATACAACCTTGCAATAGGCACTGATGTCATGCTTAGGTTCTAGTGATTTTTTTTCCCAAAGAACAAACATAATTTTGCTTTCTGGCCAGCTGTAAATGCTGAAATTGGTGCCTGTCAGAATGGTTTGGGTTGGAAGGGCCCTTAAGGCACATGTCGTTTCACCCCCTGCCACGGGCAGGGACTCCTTCCACTACACCAGGTTGCTCAGAGCTTTTTTTCCTGGTGTGAGGTTTTTTTCAACTCTTATAGATAAGTGCTAGAAATCCAGATTTTTGACTTTCAGCTTTCATGACAAGAAGCACTTGAAGAGAGTTACCAAATATGACTATTTGTTTTGAAATAAGCAGTTTTTAGTGGCTTTGCAGTAATCTCCCACAGGGTCTCAGAGGTGCCTTTCCATCAAGTTTGAAGAAGTAATTTACAGTAGGTTTCCTGGTTCCAGTTTTGTCTGTGTCTTGGATGCCAGGTCAGCAGTGCCACCTGTGGCTGTACGAAAAATATCAGTTTTGTGGTGAACTGGTGACTGCCTTAACGGAAAGCCTCTATTATGTGCAAATCCGGTCCTTGGGTGCTGCAGTAATACCTGGTACCGTTTCTCGCCCTCATCTTTCTGTTTCTGTCCTGAAAATGTTTTGTTCCTTAAAAATGTATCATGTTTTGTGCTTCTCACTCTACTTACTTGTAAGCAACTGATACTTACAGGAGGCTTAAAAATCATTTGACATGTTTGTAGTAATCATCTTCTTGTTTAAGTATGTTTTGCATCACAGCTCGTGTTGTTTCCTCTGATTGTGTATTTTTTGCAACTACTGACCTAAATATATATGTATTTAAGGTAAGCAGAAAGCATTGAAGATGTTTTTTCTTGGCTTTTATAATCAGCATGCTCGCGATTTTAGTGATGAAGAGTAAAACTAGAGTAATGTGCACCCCTGTTATTTCCTCGTGGTTGGTACTTAAATTTATTGCTTGAGTATTGGTCATTACAAGAGGAAACAGCCTCAAGGTGCACCAGGGGAGCTTTACATTAGGTATCAGAAAAAAAATGTCTGTTGAAAGGGTTGTAAAGCACTGGCACAGCTGCGCAGGAGTGGTGGAGTCACCATCCCCGAAGTGTTCATGAGTCGTGTGGATGTGGTACCTGAGGACAAGCGTTGGTGGTTGGACTTCCTTATCTTAGAAGCCTTTTCCAACCTTAAGGGTTCCTCTGTGACTCTGTGAATTGTAAGGTGGTTTTTTGCAAACGATATTTAATCAGCACTTTTTCCCTGTTGTTACTGTAGATGCTATTAGCTCCACCAACCCTCGCGTCATTGACGATGCCAGAGCAAGGAAGCTGTCGAATGACCTCAAGAGATGCACTTACTACGAAACCTGTGCCACTTATGGGCTCAACGTGGAAAGAGTCTTCCATGACGGTACAGATGAGTTTTTGCATCCATCGTATGACACAGTATGGTAGCTGTTTTTTAAGTAACCACCCATGTCTGATAGCTCAGGTATTTGCATGTTTTCCAAGCATTCATTGCTGTTTAATTAGAGAAAATGCTCATTTGTAGGTATTTCTCTTACATTTTCTGAGATGCAAGGCTCCTCATGCTGAGCACAGCACACCTACACACCTGCATTCTCTACCAGCCCCTTTTGCCTTCAGCATCTTAAGCTATTTTTGGTCTCTTTAATTTTTAGTTTGCTTTGGCACTTGCTTCATTTCAGTGAAGTTTTCTTTGATTTGATTTAGTGCTCATGGAGACATGGAGAGGCTGCTTGTGCAAAGCCCTTGAATATTACCTAGTACGTTTGGGAAAGAATGAATGGAGGAGATTGACAGGAATGGGTTGATGATGAGAAGTAAGGTGTGGCATTCAGCTGACAGACCGTTGGCTTTGAACTGACAGAGATAAGATTGGATACTGGGAAGAAATAATTTCCTGTGAGGTGCTGAGGCACTGGAACAGGTTGCCCAGAGAAGCAAGCTGTGGCTGCTCCATCCCTGGAAGTGTTCCAGGCCAGGTTGGATGGGGCTTGGAGCAACGTGGGCTAGTGGGAGGTGTCCCTGCCCATGGCAGAGGGTGGAACGAGATGGTCTTCAATGTCCCTTCCCACCCAAACCATTCTCTGACAGCCTTGTGTGTTAGGGGCTTTGATGATCCTTGTGGGTCCATCCCAGCTCAGGATGCTCTGTGATTCCAGGATTCTGAGGTCGCGAGCAGCAGTGCTGGACGCGGTGGTGCCGGATGAGATGGGCTCTGTGCCCCCTCTAGTGGTATTTCAGCCAGATGTCTGTGGCCCTCGCTGCCTTCTCACCGGTCTTGTCTGGTGGCTGAACGTGCCACCCCCTCACCACAGCACGTTTTCTCTGTCTAAAATCCTTCTTACTTAAGTCTGACTACTTCTCAGAGCTCCCTAGTTTTGAGGGTTGGTATGTTGCTAGGTTTGCTTTGCAAAGACCTGCATTGCCTGTGGTTTTGTGGGGCAGTGTCACATCAGCACCTATCAGAGGTGTGTGTAAAACCAGCTCAAATTAAAATAAAAAGGCAAAAGATTCAAATTTTGACATGGAAAACAAGGTAAAACATGGTAATTTTTACGTGGGAAATACTGACATGCACTGCAGCAGGTATAATTCCAAGTAAGGGTTTTTTTGCCCACCCTGTTGGTCAGATCTCCGAGAAAAGCATTTGAAGCTGGTGTTGTGCTTTGCTCCCTGTTTGTCTTGAACTAGTTGCAAAAAATTACTGTTTTCACTGCCTAGATTGGCTATATTGATTATGATTTTCAAAGAGCCATTAGGGGTTGTTGTTAGCACATTCATTTTTGAGTGCTGGCTATAGTTAGATTTTTAATTGCATGTTCCCAGCCATGGTGTTTGTGGCTCTCACTGCCGTCTGCTGCCGTTTGCTATTTTTTCTCTCTCAGGGACCTTCTGAGAGAAGTCTCTTGGCACAGAGCTAGTGTGACAAACTTGTAAGCTTCCAGGAGACTCATTTGTGTCTCTGCTGAGTTTTGGTAGTAAGTAGAAAGAATTGACAGAGATCATGTGTTTAGGAAATATTGAGGTTCTGTTTTACCTACGTGGCAGCCAAGCAGCTCTGTAATATTTGCCAACTAATAGGATTAGAAATGCTTCTGTATAAATGGGTTACACTTGCCAGACATGTCTGGGACCAAATCCAATTCCTGATAATTTTTTGCTGTTTATTTTAGCAGGAAACAAAGCAACTTCTTAACCCTGTAAAATAAGGGGGGTGTGAATGAGCAGTACAGGCTGTTATAGGGAGCATTTGGTTAAATGTTGCTTGGTTTGTGTGACTCTGGGGCACTCACATTCAGCATAGGCATGGGTTTAGTGGCTGCTTCACAGGGTTCTGAGTTCAGCAGCCTGGTCCAGTGGCAGGTGTCCCTGCCCATGGCAGGGAGTTGGAAGAAGATGAGCTTTAAGGTTCCTTCCAACCCAAACCATATCGAGATTCTGTTATTCTGTGATTCCTCATCTTACACCGAAGGAATTTGGCCCTCTCTTAAGCATGGAGCCCAGTGTCTGCCTAGTCGCATGACTTGGACCCATACCCATGGTTGAAACTTTTTATTCTTGCTTGTTGAAAAGGTGCAAGTGAATTCTGCAGTAGACCCTTTTGAGGGACAGCCTCTCTGGTCCCCCTCAAGGGACTTCTGAGCCCTGTTTGCTTGAAAGCAAGCAGCGCATAGCACAGGTTAACAGCTTCTCTGTGTTCACATTCTCTCTGGAATCAATGGAGCCGATTATCCAAAGTTGGTAGTTCAAGGCCAGGGTGGATAGCGCTTGGAGCAACTTGGTGTAGTTGAAGATGAATCTGTCCATGGCATGGGGTGGAACGAGATAGTCTTTAAGGTCCCTTCTGACCCAAACCATTCCATGATAAGGCTTGAAAGAAACACTTCTTGATATAAATATCCTCAATGAACAAGGAAAAGAAGGAATGAAGGGGGAGAGACAGGCTAAATGCAGGTCTTCACAAATTGAAGGAAACCCTGAGTCAGGGCCAGCAGCCTTCCTAAATTATCTGTGTTTTTCAGCAGACGTGAAAAGGGTGCAGACCAGTTACTGCGTTTCATGATTGGGTTTTTGTTGTGTGTAACTGTGGAGCAATAGGTGTTGACAACTTAGTAGCTGTATGCGAGACCTGGAGCTACTACACCTATTAAGACCATGTCGTGTGCATCGAAATTATGCTTATACTCTGCTCCCAGCTGGTCCTGGGATTTAGGTATAGGGTTTATTATATTCCAGGGTAGGTAATGCTTGATGGTTGAATCATCCAGGTGTTTTTTTGGTAGGTCTGTGAGAGTGTTTCAGTACCTTGACTGAGGTCCCATAGCTTTTGCTGGCTTGCAACTTTGAACATTTCAGCTCCATAATTTATGGTCCAAGTGCACCTTGTTCTTTCTACCCATTCTGTTTTTCCAGAGCTCCAAGTTGCCAGTGAGTTGGTGAATCTGAGTGAGTCTGTGAACTGCTGCTGTGCAAACCCCTGTCACCAGCCTACAGCTTGTCTTTGGCACAGTCAGTGGGTTGTGACACTAGTTCTAGTTTGGTTTACCAGCTTTTTCTAAAACCTAGTGTTGTGCTTTAACTGAAGAAAGTTCGCTCTATCCCAGCCCAAACCAACACATGTAGTTTCTTGTTTCTGTGTACTGCCTTGGAGTGATGCAGACCTACCTTTAGGAGAAAGAAGTTGGAAGTGGCATTTAAGGGTCTTTTACTCCTTCGTGTGTTCATTAAAAACTAAAATACTTATTTTCCCCTTGCAAGCAGCCACTGAGCTCTTGGTAGTCATCTGTTACGGTTCTTGTCTGCTATAACTCATTTCCTATTTTCCCCATGACTGAGTGGCAAAATAATTCAACTTGAATGGTTGTTGCTGTTATACAAATGCTACTTTATTCTTGAGTTGAATCCAAATACACAGTTTCCAGCACTCCGTTACAGCTGATAAGCTCTCACTATTGATTGTAACAGAGGTAGAACCACAGAATCACTTGGGTTGGAAAAGACCTTTAGATCATCAAGTCTGTTGGTTCCTATTTTGCAAGGAGTGCTGAGTGAAGTGAAGGCAGGGTGTGAAGCAGAATTTTGACCATTTTAGATGGGATTTTTAACCTTCAGCTTGGTGTTGCTTGGGTGTAACCTCTGATGCTGTTGGAGGTTGGAGCTGCACGAGCTGGCTCTGAATTTCCAGGTTCCAGGGGATGGGACCACATGCCCAGCAATGGAGGGGAATAAATTCTTATCTAGTCTTTGGTATCTGGAATTGTTGATCAGGGGAATTGTGTTTTAATAATAATAAATTCTACGAAGATTCATTTTTCTTCTGATTTGCCAATTAAGAATGAGGGGATAATTTTTTTCCCCTGCTTATCAGAATGGATTTTATCAATGACAGTGGAAATGATTATTTTAATATTTCCTGTCAGCACAGTATTATGATGACGGTGTACTGCCCCAGGATGCCTTTGTAATGATTTTAGCCTTCGCGAATTAGCTTGATGTACCATTAATGCATAAGAATTGCTTTTATTTCTGCTCATCACGTACTCGTAATTACACATCTTTCCCCACTCTACATTCAGGTTTTCTCTGACCCATTTAACTACATGCGACTGTGACGTTGCAGAAAAGCAAATGTTCAGATATGTAGAGGACAGATTTTACCATCAGTATAGCTTGGCATCATGGGGTGTGGAATGTGGAAGGGTTTGGATGTGACTTGGATTCAGTGTTCAGACTGTCGCTGTAGCTGAGCAATTAAACCAAGGAGATTTTACCATGTATAGGTCGCTGTAACACACAGATTTGAACTGAAGTTGCCCCAAATAGCACCAAATCTGTGAGTATTGAGGCAGGAGGTGAATATTGAGGAGGGGAGATTTGCAGGGCTGCGATAGCAGAGGCCACTGCTGCCTCAGTTTGGGCTGTTAGCTCTGGTGCTGTGCTGCTTCCATTAGTTTTGGATGCTTTATATGCAAATTAACTAATCTTTTACTAAGGAATGTGTAAAAATTTGCCAGAAATATTTTATTTCTGAATCCCAAATAACATTTCTAATGTGCTGTTAAACAAAGGTGTCTAAAAGGGGAACCTGAAGTACCAGTTCTCCATTAAGGAAGGCATGGGAGATCCGGTACAGAGAGACTGAGGGAAAGGACTGTCACTTGCCCTCAGCATTAGCAGTCAGCTTTATAGATGTGTTTTCATTAGGAAATGTTAATCAGCCTAATGGGAAGTAAATAAAGGCTTAGTCCCATCCTGGCAGCTGTTTTGAGAAGAGGCAGCATTCCCTCAGGCACTAGATGTGGCCTGAGGGAGGGACTCTCCCTTGGGGCTCAGGAGGCTGAGGCAGTGGGGGCCCCAGCGCAGGGCTGAGGTGGGGGAGCAGGT